ACACGATCACGTATAACACTGGGTCAAGAGAGAATATGGAGGACTAACCCTGAACTAAAACACAGATCACAGTATAACTACTGGGGCAGAGGGACTAGTGGGGACTAACCTGAATAAAAAAACGATACAGTATAATACGGGTCAGAGAATAGGGGGGACTAACCCTGAACAAAACAAAAAGATCAAGTATAAAACTGGGGAAGAGACTAGGGGGACAACCTGAACTAAAACACAGATCACAGTATAACTACTGGGTCAGAGAGACTAGTGGAGGACTAACCCTGAACTAAAACACAGATCATAGTATAACTACTGGGGCAGAGAGAGAGATGTGGGGACAACCCTGAACTAAAAAAACAGACACAGATAACTACTGGGTAAGAGAACTAGTGGGGGACTAAACCCCGAAATAAAAAACAGATCACAGTTAAAATACTGGGTAGGGAGAAGTGGAGGACTAACCCCGAAAATAAAACACAGATACAGTATAACTATGGGTCAGAGAACTATGGGAGGACTAACCCTGAAAAAAAAACACAGATACGTATAATACTGGGGCGAGAGTGTGGAGGACTAACCCTTAAAAAAAAACAGTCACAGAAACATGGGGCAGAGAGACTGGTGGGGGACTAACCCTGAACTAAAAAAAAGATCAAGTATAACTACTGGGGCAGAGGGGGAAAAGGGCAGGGGAGGATAACCCGAACTAAAAAACAGATCACAGTTAAATATGGGTCAGAGAGACGGGGGAGGACAACCTGAAATAAAAAACCGATCCTAAAAAACTGGGTCAGAGAGGGACTAGTGGGGACTAACCTAAAAAACACAATCACAGTATAACTATGGGGGAAGAGAGACTGGTAGGGCAACCCTGAACAAAACACAGACACGTATAAAAATACTGGGGGAGAGAGATAGGGAGGGTAAAAACCCGAACTAAAAAAGATCACAGTAAATACTGGGTCAGGAAGACTAGGGAGGAAACCCCCGAACTAAAAAAACAGATCACAGTATAATACTGGGGCGAGAGATAGTGGAGGGCTAACCTGAACTAAAACAAAGATCACATATAAAAACTGGGTCCAAAAGACGGTGGAGGATAACCCTGAACTAAAACCGTATAGTAAACTACTGGGTCAGAGAGACTAGGGGGACTACCCGAAAATAAAACACAATCACAGTAAACTACTGGGAGAGAGACTAGTGGAGGGGTAACCGAACTAAAACACGATCACAGTAAACATGGGTCAGAGAGACTAGTGGAGGACTAACCCTAACAAAAAAACAATCCAAGTAAACTACTGGGTAGAGAGACTGTGGGGATAAACCCGGGGCTAAAACACAGATCACGATAAATATGGGTCAGAGAGACAGGGAGGACTAAAACCCGAACTAAAACAAAGACACAGTATAAATATGGGTCAGGAGAGAGACTTGGAGGGCTAAACCCCGAACTAAAAAACAGATCACGTATAACTCTGGGGGCAGAGAGGCTTGGGGGGACTAAACCTGAACTAAAACCAGATCACGTATAATACTGGGTCAGGAGATATGGAGGACTACCCTGAAAATAAAACAAGATCACGTATAACTCTGGGGGCAGAGAGGAGAAGTGGAGGACAACCCTGAACTAAACACGATCACAGTAACTTGGGGCAGAGAGAGATAGTGGAGGACTAACCCTGAAATAAAACAAGATCCCGTAAACACGGGTCAGAGAGAAGTGGGGGACTAACCCGAACTAAAAAACAGATCACATTAACTACTGGGGGCAGAGAGGACTAGGGAGGACTAACCCCGAACTTAAAAAAAACCCGACCCGAAACTACGGGGGCAGAGAGACTGTGGAGGACTAACCCTGAAATAAAAAAACAGATCACGTATAATACGGGCAGAGAACTAGTGGAGGACTAACCCCGAATAAAAAACAGAACAGTATAATACTGGGTCAAGGATAGGGAGGAAAACCCTGAACTAAAAAACAGAAAAGTATAACTAGGGGCAGAAGACTAGTGGAGGACTAACTACTGGGTCAGAGAGACTAGTGGAGGACTAACTACTGGGTCAGAGAGACCGGTGGAGGACTAACCCTGAACTAAAACACAACACACACTACTGGGTCAGAGGGTGGTGTGCACTAAAAAGAAGTGTAGTGCACTAAAAAGAAGTGTGGTGCACTAATAATACAGTGGGGTATAAGAGGAACACTCACTTGAACTGCATGACCTGACTATGTTCGTTAAACCTGGTGATGATGCTGACATCCATAAAAGGTTTTGGTTCTAAGGAAGACAAGAAAGACGGAACAGAACACGTTAGAGAACACCAATTATGGACACACACGCATTCTACCATGTACCGGGGAGGCCGCAGTTACCTGAGTCCAGAGCGATGGACTTTGGAGGAGGAACCGGGTGGAACACAATGGGAAACATCGCTCCAGTCAGCTGGTTGTCCACCTGAAACACACACCGTAAAAAAGACAAGAGTTTCATATCACTAGAGATATACACAGTACTCCAAAATGGCTCTCAAGACTATATATGTTCTACCGTAACATTTGCAGCTTGCTTGATTTAAAAGCAGAAATGCTCTTATCTGAAAGACAGTCATGGTTATTTTTGCCACAGTTACCCGCAGCCAAAGCAACTGGGCCTGTGTACTTCTCTGTTGAGGCGACTGTTTAAACTGGGGTTAGTGTGTAGGGGTAGGGTGTGATGGGGTTAGGGTGTAGGGTGTAGGGGTAGGGTGTGATGAGGTTAGGGTGTAGGGTGTAGGGGTAGGGTGTGACTAGGTTGGGTGTGGGTGTGGGTATGTGTGATGGGTTTGGGTGTAGGTGTGGGGTGGGTTTGTTGGGTTGGTGTGGGTTGGGTGGTTTGTGGTTGAGGTTACGGTGTGGGGCGGGTGGTGTGGGGTTTGGTGTCGGGTGTAGGGGGTTGTGGGGTTGGGTGTAGGGTGGTTGTGGGTTGGGTTCGGGGTCTTGGTGTTCTTTGGTTCGGTTGTGGGTGGGTGTGCGGTTGGGTGTCGTGTGTGGGTTTGGGTTTGGGGTTGGTTGGGTCAGGTGTGTGGTTGGTGTCTGTGTAGGGTTGGGTGTGTGGGGTTGGTGTAGGGTGGTAGGTTATTGGTTGGGTGTGGTTAGGGTGGTTGTAGGGTTGGGTGTGTGTGTGGGTGGGGTTGTGGGTTTGGGTGTTTTGTGTGGGGTCGGGTGTGGTGCGGTTCGGGTGTGGGTGTCGGGTCGGGTTTGCTGCGGTTCGTTGTGTGTGTCGGGGTCGGGTGTGCTGCGGTTGGGTGTCCGGGTCGGGTGTGCTGGGTTGGTGTCGTGTGTGGGTCGGGTGTGCTGGGGTTCGGGTGTCGTGTGTCGGGGTCGGGTGTGCTCGGTTCGGGTGTGGGGGTGGGTGTTGCGGTTCGGGTGTGGGTCGGGGTGTGCTGCGGTTGGGTGTAGGGGTCGGCTGTGCTGGGGTTCGGGTGTCGGGTGTCGGGGTCGGGTGTGCTGCGTTCGGTGTCGGGTGTCGGGTCGGGTGTGCTTCGGTTCGGGTGTCGGGGTCGGTGTGCTGCGGTTCGGGTGTGCTGCGGTTCGGGTGTCGGGGTCGGGTGTGCGGGGGTTCGGGTGTCGGGTGTCGGGGTCGGGTGTGTGCGTTCGGGTGTCGTGTGTCGGGGTCGGGTGTGCTGGTTGGGTGTGGGGTCGGGTGTGCTGCGGTTCGGGTGTCTTGTGGTCGGGTGTGCTGCGGTTCGGGTGTCTGTGTCGGTGTGCTGGTTGGGTGTCGTGTGTCGGGGTCGGGTGTGCTGCGGTTCGGGTTTTGCTGCGGTTCGGGTTCGGGTGTCGGGGTCGGGTGTGCTGCGGTTCGGGTTCGTGTGTCGGGGTCGGGTGTGCTGCGGTTCGGGTGTCGGGTGTCCGGGTCGGTGTGCTGCGGTCTCGGGTTGTCGTGTGTCGGGTGCGGGTGTGCTGCGGTTGGGTGTCGTGTGTCGGGGTCGGGTGTGCTGGGGTTCGGGTGTCGGTGTCGGGGTCGGGTGATGCTGGTTCGGGTGTCGTGTGTCGGGGTCGGGTGTGCTGGGGTTCGGGGTGTCGGGGTCGGTGGTGCTGCGGTTCGGGTGTCTTGTGTCGTGGGTCGGGTGTGCTGGGGTTCGGGTGTTCGGGGTCGGGGTCGGGTGTGCCTGGTTCGGGTGTCGGGTGTCGGGGTCGGGTGTGCTGCGGTTCGGGTGTCGTGTGTCGGGGCGGGTGTGCTGCGGTTCGGGTGTCGTGTGTCGGGGTCGGGTGTGCTGGGGTTCGGGTGTCGGAGTGTCGGGGTCGGGTGTGCTGCGGTTGGTGTCGTGTTGGGTCGGTGTGGCTGCGGATCGGGTGTCGGGGTCGGGTGTGCTGGGGTTCGGGTGTCGGGGTCGGGTGTGCTGGGGTTCGGGTGTTCGGTGGTTCGGGGTCGGGCCGGGTGTGCTGCGGTTCGGTGCGTTTCGTGTCGGGGTCGGTGCTGCGGTTTCGGCGGGTGTCGTGTGTCGGGGTCGGGTGTGCTGCGGTTCGGGTGTCGTGTGTCGGGTGTGCTGCGGTTCGGGGTGTCGTGTGTCGGGGTCGGGGTGTGCTGCGGTTCGGGTGTCGGGTGTCGGGGTCCGGGTGTGCTGCGTTCGGGTGTCGTGTGTCGGGGTCGGGTGTGCTGCGTTCGTGTGTCGGGGTCGGGTGTGCTGCGGTTCGGGTGTCGGGGGTCGGGTGTGCTGCGGTTCGGGTGTCGGGTGTCTGGTGTCGGGGTCGGGGGTTCGTGTTCGTGTGTCTGTTTCGGGGTTCGGTGTTCGTGTTGTCGGTGTTCGTGTGGGTCGGGTGTCGGGTTCTGTGTCTGGTTCGGGTTCGTGATGTCGGGTTAGGGTTAGTGTGTAGGGTTAGGGTTAGTGTGTAGGGTTAGGGTTAGTGTGTACGGTTAGGGTTAGTGTGTCGGGTCGGTTTTCGTGGTGTCGGGTGTGGGTGTGTCAGGTTAGGGGTTAGTGTGTATGGTGTAGGGTGTGTCAGGTTAGGGTGTTACCTGCAGCCAGTGTAGCTGGGCCCGGAGACTTCTCTGATGAGGCGACTGTTTAAACTCCACCTGAATCCCAGACAGGAAGTTCCTCCTGATATTAGAGGAAAAGGGCTGACGCATCACCATGGGAACCTTCCCGAAGTTCACCTGCATGGGAAAAGAATACGTGCGAATGTTCCAAAATGCAATTAGCGGGACAACACCGTTCTCAAAAGTGCACCGCAAATGCGAGCAGTTTCATACGACAGAGATGAAAATATCCTTCAGAAATGTCGAAAGAGGGAACATCTAAAGACGCAACAACAAACATGGGTTGTTAATATGACTAGGATTGTGTCTTTGGCTGCTGGACAACGAATGAAAGCTAAGAACATAAGAGAAATATGCCCTACTGGTTTCAAAGGCATATAAGGAAGTATTCAGACCCCTTCCCTTTTTCCACATTTTGTTACGTTACAGCCTTATTCTAAAATTGATTACATTATATTTTTTCCTCATCAATCTACACACAATACCCCATAATGACAAAGCAAAAACAGGTTTTTAGACATTTTTGCAAAAACAGAAATACCTTATTTACATAAGTATTCAGACCCTTTGCTATGAGACTCGAAATTGAGCTCAGGTGCATCCTGTTTCCATTGATCATCCTTGAGCTGTTTCTACAACTTGATTGGAGTTCACCTGTGGTAAATTCAATTGATTGGACATGATTTGGAAAGGCACACACCTGTCTATATAAAGGTCCCACAGTTGACAGTGCATGTCAGAGCAAAAACCAAGCCATGACGTCGATGGAATTGTCCGTAGAGCTGCGAAACAGGATTGTGTTGAGGCACTGATCTGGGGAAGGGTACCAAAACATTTCTGCAGCATTGAAGGTCCCCAAGAACACAGTGGCCTCCATCATTCTTAAATGGAAGAAGTTTGGAACCACCAAGACTCTTCCTAGAGCTGGCCGCCCAGCTAAACTGAGCAATTGGGGGAGAACTGAGCAATCAATGGTCACTCTGACAGAGCTCCAGAGTTCCTCTGTTGAGATGGGAGAACCTTCCAGAAGGACAACCATCTCTGCAGCACTCCACCAATCAGGCCTTTATGGTACAGTGGCCAGACGGAAGCCACTCCTCAGTAAAAGGCACATGACAGCCCGCTTGGAGTTTGCCAAAAGGCACCTAAAGGACTCTCAGACCATGAGAAACAAGATTCTCTGGTCTGATGAAACCAAGATTGAGCTCTTCGGCCTGAATGCCAAGCGTCACGTCTGGAGGAAACCTGGCACCATCCCTACGGTGAAGCATGGTGGTGGCAGCATCATACTGTGGGAATGTTTTTCAGCGGCAGGGACTGGGAGACTAGTCAGGATCGAGGGAAAGATGAACGGAGCAAAGTACAGAGAGATCCTTGATGAAAACCTGCTCCAGAGCGCTCAGGACCTCAGACTGGAGCGAAGGTTCACCTTCCAACAGGACAACGACCCTAAGCACACAGCCAAGACAACGCAGGAGTGGCTTCGGGACAAGTCTCTGAATGTCCTTGAGTGGCCCAGCCAGAGCCCGGACTTGAACCCGATCGAACATCTAACAAGACTCTAGGCTGTAATCACTGCTTCAACAAAGTACTGAGTAAAGGGTCAGAAGACTTGTGATATCAGTTTTATATTTTGAATACATGTGCAAACATTTCTAAAAACCAGTTTTTGCTTTTTCATTATGGGTGCACTGTAATCCCTTTAACATTCCTACATGGTAAGACATGCCTCACAAAATGACAAAAAAATGTCCAGGTTTTAAACAATTACGTTTATGGTTAAATAGTTTCAAAATGTTGATGGCCTCCGCTCAGATTGCAAGGTGTGTGACGCTGCAGTGTCCAACAGGCACTTGCCTTGTTCTCCTATCAGAACAAACAGTGCCTCAAGCATGTCGACAGAATCAAGCTTTTAGATATTAATGATCCTACATTATATTTGTCAAACATGACTGGCGTTTAGCCTATACAGTATGTGATAAAAATTCTCAATAAAGCTGTAGCCAATACCATAGGCTATCACCTAGACTTTGACATGTAGGATAATAATTTATGGACGTTTACATACACTTATGTTTTTATTAACATAATAGCTAGTGTTTTTTGGTTTTCAAATCAATTTAAATTGGCTACTTTGGTTAATGGCCTTGGTGCCCTGGCAGATGGTCTTGTTGCCCTGGAAGTTTGGGCACCTCTTGAAGGCCAAATGGCCTTGCCCCTAAAATCACAAAATTCCAGGCCTGTTCTCACCTTTAATTTGGTTTGACCCAGCCAGGCTGTGGTAGGGTTAAGGGTTAGTGTCAGGGGTTAGGGGTCAGTGTGATGGTCGTACCTCTAATTTGGTCTCTAGTTTGACCCAGCCAGGCTGTGGTAGGGTTAAGGGTTAGTGTCAGGGGTTAGGGGTCAGTGTGATGGTCGCACCTCTAAGTTGGTCTCCAGTTTGACCCAGCCAGGCTCAGGTGTACCTCCAGACATGTGTTTCTGGTAGGCCTTCTCCAACAGCCTGATGTTCCTCTGGTTGAAAGACTTCCAGCGGTTCTTAGGCCTCATCTCCCACACCACACCAGAGCTGAAACCAACAGGCACATGAAACATTACTGTACCGTTCATACCAATACCTCAATTTAAATCTGAGGGATCAACTTTTACACAAGGGTCTGTATGTCTGTGAGTGTGTGTACGTCTCCGACTGACTGTGTACGACTGACTGACTGTCTGTGGTACGTTACCTGGTGATGCCGACGTAGGCGATCTCCTGGCGGTTGTCGTTGTTGATGAGTGACAGGCCAAGGTTCTGCAGCGACACGTTCACTTCCTGTTGGAACTGCTCCAGCTCCTCCGCCTGCCGCGCCTTGGTCACCACGGCAACGTCCTCGGTGAAGAGCAGCACGCGCTGGCGACCGTCCAGGAAGGACACCCAGTGGACCTGGGACAGACCGTCGTACGCAAACTGACCACACTCATCCTGTATGGGGGGAGACACAAGGACAGACAGGCAGACAGGAGAGAGAGAGAGAGAGAGAGAGAGAGAGATAGAGACAGAGAGAGAGAGAGAGAGAGAGAGAGAGAGAGAGAGATGAGAGAGAGAGAGACAGAGAGAGAGAGAGAGAGATCGAGAGGAGAGAGAGCGAGAGCAGACAACAGATCAGACAGCGACAGAGAGAACCAGACAGACAGAGGGATGAGAGAGAGAGAGAGAGAGAGAGAGAGAGAGAGAGAGGAGAGGAGGATAGAGAGAGAGAGAGAAGATACAGACAGAGACAGACAGACCAGAGGGAGAGAGAGAGATAGAGAGAGAGAGAAAGAACAGACGACACAGACAGACAGACAGACATACAGGAGAGAGAGAGAAGAGAGAGAGAGAGAAGAGAGAAGAGAAAGGAGACGAGAGAGAGAGACAGACAGAGAAAGAGAGAGAGAGAGCGAGAGCGAGAGCGAGAGAGAGGAGAGAGAGAGAGAGCAGAGAGACAACAGAGATACAGACAGACGACAAGACAGACAGACAGACATACGACAGACAACGAGAGAGATAGAGAGATGATAGAGAGAAAAAAAAAAGAGGAGAGAGAGATAGAAAGAGAGAGAAGAGAGAGAGAGACAGACAGAGAAGAGAGAGAGAGAGAGCTAGAGAGAGAGAGAGAGAGAGAGAGAGGAAGAGAGAGAGACAGCAGACGACAGACAGACCGACAAGTGAGAGAGAGAGAGAGAGAGACAGACAGACCCAGAGGGAGAGAGAGCGAGAGAGAGAGGAGAAGAGATAGAGAGGAGAGAGAGAAAGAGAGAGGAGAGAGAGAGAGACAGACGAGAACGGAGAGAGATATGGAGAGAGAGGAGAGAGAGAGAGAGAGCAGGAGAGAGAGAGAGAGATAGAGAAAGACAGAGCAGATTTCAGTCGGCCATGCTGTGTGTGTGTTACCATTAACCAGTCCGTTCAGTCGCATTGCTGGTGTGTGTGTTACCTTAACCAGGTCCAGTTCCCCACTGCTGTGCTCCAGGCAGTTCCAGCTGAGTTTGCGGACGCCTGCAGGGTTGTCCCAGGCAAACCTCTGGGCTTGTCCTGGCTTCAGGACTCTGCTCTCTGTAGAACCACTGGGAACCAAGAACATCAGGGCCTGTCTCCACTAAGGCTCTCAGAGTAGGAGTGTCCATGTTATCTTATTCATTATGATCTAAAATGATCCTAGATCAGCACTGCTACTCTGACAGGGCCCTGAACACCACAGAACATCACAGAACATCACAGAACATCACAGAACATCACAGAACATCACAGAACATCACAACACATGCCCTGGATAGGAATCTACAAGGTCAAACGCAGAAGAGTGAGTCCAACTAAACACAACTCAAGGTCCTCCACTTGTCATGGCCAGAGGTAAAGAAAGAAAGCAGCTCTATGTTACAACAGGAATTACAATACTGTAGGGTTAGGGTTAGGGGTTAGGGATTGGATATGGGTTAGGGTTAGGGATAGGGTTAGGGTTGGGATAGGGTTGGGGGATATGGTTAGGGTTTTGGTTAGGGATATGGTTTAGGGTTAGGATGGTTTAGGGTTGGGTTGGTTGGGTTGGGCTTTTTTGGGTTGGGTTGGGTTTTGGTTGGTTGGGTTGGTTGGTTCGGGTTGGGTTGTTGGGTTCGGGATTGGTTGGGATAGGGTTGGGTTGGGTTGGTTGGGTTGGGTTGGGTTAGGGTTAGGGTTAGGGTCGTCTAACCTCTGTCTGTAGGTGATGGTAACCCAGGGTGTATGGTTGGGGTTAGGGATAGGGTTAGGGTCCAGTCTAACCTCTGTCTGTAGGTGATGGTAACCCAGGGTGTTGGTTAGGGTTAGGGATATGGTTGGGGTTAGGGTTAGGGATAGGGTTAGGGTTGGGGTTTTAGGGATCTGGTTGGGTTAGGGTTAGGGATTGGTTAGGGTTGGGGATATGGTTGGGGTTTAGGGTTAGGATCTGGTTAGGGTTAGGGTTAGGGATATGGTT